ATGTCAGAAAAGATCCTGAAACTTGCACTGCAGCACAGAGATGCTAAAGCAAATGGGAGAAATGAGGACGTAAAAGAGCTGAATGGAACATTTCAAAGGGCAACTCAAGAAGACAAAGTCAAGTGTTACAATAAAATGTGCAAAGATCTGGAGTTAAAAAACCAAAAGGGAAGACATGCTCAGCATTTCTCAAGCTAAAAGAACTATGGAAAAAATTCAAGCCTTAACATTAAATACTGCAGTATTCTTTGGACAAAATATTGAATTATGTGGAAAGCATCAAAAGAAGATGGAAGGAATAAACAGAGTCACTGGACCAAAAAGAAATGATCAATGTTGACATTTCAAGAGCTAGCACGTGATTAAGAGTCAATGATCCTGAAGGAAAAAGTCCAAGGTGCATTGAAGGCATTGGCAAAGAACAAGGCACCAGGAATTGATGGAATACAAATTGAAATCTTTCAACAAACTGATGTGGCACTGGAGGCAGTTGCTCATCTATGCCAAGAAATTTGGACGACAGCTACCTGGGCAACTGATTGGAAGAGATCCATATTTGTGCCCATTTCAAAGAGAGGTGACTCAGTGGAATGTAGGAATCATTGAACAATATAAATATCACATGCAAGTAAAATTTTGTTAAAGATAATTTAAAAATGGCTGCAACAGTACATAGACAAGAAGCTGCCAGAGTTTTAAACTAGATTCAGAAGAGGACGTGGAATGAAGCATATTACTGCTGTCATCAGAAGGATCTTGGCTGGAAGCAGAATTTACCAGAAAGATGTTTACCTGTGGCTTTATTGACTTTGCAAAGCCTTTGACTGTGTGGATCACGTCAAGCTGTGGACAACATTGCGGAGAATGAGTATTCCAGAACACTTAAATGTTCTTATGAGGAACCTGTACAAAAACCAAGAGACAAGTTGTTTGAACAGAACAAAGGAACACTGAATGGTTTAAAATCAGGAAAGGTTGTATTTTTTCACCATACTTATTCAATCTACATACTGAGCAAATAACTGAAGAAGCTGGATTATATAAAGAAAAATGTGTTATCAGGATTGGAGAAAGACTCATTACCAACCTGCAATATGTTGATGATACAACCTTGCAAGCTGAAAGTGAAGAGGACTGAAAATACTTGCTGATGAAGATCAAAGTCTTCAGTATGGGTTGCAGCTCAATGTAAACAAAACAAAAATCCTCACAACTGGAACAATAAATAACATCGTGATAAATGGAGAAAACATTGTAATTGTCAAAGACTTCATTTTGCTTAGATCAACCATCAGCACTCATGGAAGCCGTCGTCAAAACAACAGAAGAAGAAATCAAACAACATATTGCATCATACAAATCCACTGCACAAGACCTCTTTAATGTTTTCAAGAATAAAGATGTCAGTTTGAAGACTACGGTGCTCCTGACCCAAAGCCATGGTATTTTCAATAGTTTCATATGCATGTGAAAGCTGGACAGTGAATAAGGAAGATCATAGAAGAATTGACGCATTTGAGTTGTGGTGTTGGAGGAGAATACTGAAAGTGCCATGGACTGCCAAAAGAACCAATAGATCTGTGTTGGAAGAAGTACAACTAGAATGCTCCTTACAAGCCAAGATGGCCAGACCTCATCTCTTAAAATTTGGACATATTATCAGGAAGGACCAGTCCCTGGAGAAGGACATCATTCTTGGTAAAGTTTGGGGATAGCAAAAAGGAAGGTGACCCCTTATGAGCTGGACTGGCACAGTGGCAGCAACAATGGACTCACACGTGGCAGCGGTTGTGAGAATGGGGCAGAACCAGACGTGCATAGGGTTGTTATGGGTCAGAGATGACTTACTTGGCAGTATCTAACAACAAAGACATATGCATGTGAAATGAATAAAGACCACAGAAGAATGGATGCATCCGAGTTATGGTGTTGGAGAGAACACTGAAGTACCATGGACTGCGCAAAGAACAAACAAATCTGTGTTGGAAGAAGCACAATTGGTGTGCTCCTTAAAAGCCAGGATGAAGAGCCTTTGTCTTTCGTGCTTCAGACATGTTATCAGAAGGGATCAGTCCCTGGAGAAGGACACCATGCTTGGTAATGTAGAGGATCTGCGAAAGAGAGGAAGACTCCCAACAAGATGGGCTGGCCCAGTGGCAGCAGTGATGAGCTCTGGTTTAACAACAGTTGTGAGAACAGTGCAGGATCAGGCAGTGTTTCGCTGTGTTGTGAATAGTGCCGCTATGAGTCAGAAGCAACTTGGCAGCACCTAACAACAACAACATGTTGTCAGGAGAAAACAGTCACTGGAGAAGGATGTCATGCTGGGTAAGATGGAGGATCAGGAAAAAAAAAAGGAAGACCCCCAACGAGATGGATCAGCCAGGTGGCATCATTGATGGACTCAAGTGTGGCAGCGGTAGTGAGGTTGGCCCAGGATCGGACATTGTTTTGTTCTGCTGTGCATGGGGTCGCTATGAGTCGGTTCTGACTCGATGGCACCTGACAACAACAACAACAACAACAACAACAAAACATCATTCCAAGCCTGCGGTCACCATGAGTGAGAACAAACTCAGTGGCAACATCAAGTGGATAGAGATCTGGGATGCTGCTCAACATCCTACAGTGCAAAGAACAACCTCCCCCAACGCACGTAATCAGAAATTATCCAATCCCAAGGCAGCAGTACCAAGGCTCAGACAACCTTGCTGTGAATGACATTTCTCATGAAGGAATCTTACAGTACTCCTCTGTCCAATGTGGTCATTTTTCACCTTGGAAAAAGCTGTAATTCTGAACCATCTTCTTACTTAGTTGGTCCTTCTCCTGGGACTTCAATATTTGTAAATCATTTTATTTTATTTTGTTGTTGTTGAGACTATACATACACAGCAAAAATAGACATCGACTCAACAGTTTCTACACGGACAATCCAGTGACATTCCTTCACTTCTTCAAGTTGTACAACCATTCTCGCCCTCCTTTTCCAAGTCACTCCTTTGCCGTGAACGTGAACGGAAGCTCACTGCCCCGGAAATTTCACTGCCCCGGAAATTTCCCATCAGCCCTTTCGAGTAGCCACTGTCAATTTCATCCGGTGGTGAGCACAGAGCTTAGGACAGACACTCCTTATTAAACTAAACTGTCGTTTGATTTTTCAGAAGATGTCACCTTTCCCGTTTTGGGAAGGTGCAAAAAGGTGGTTGAATGTGTCTGACAGCCACAAAGGGTCGTTACTGCTTTCCTTTTTCTCCCACGTGATGAAGGTAAAAACAAACTCCATGGTTTTTTAAGCCTTCTGATTTAGACCCAAAGTACGAGTGTCCAAATCTCAGGAAATCAACAGGAGCTTGTCCCAGGTTCCTGCCGTTGTAAGACTATTCATGTAAGCTTTCAAAGAAAACACAAAACAAAATAAAACCAACCTTCCGTCAGCTGAAGTGGGTCTCTGCTGTTTGCAACTCAACATTTCCTGTCTCTTCAGGATGTGTTTTTCTAGAAATGACTACAACTGTTACAGTCTTACACTCTTTCAGAACTTGGACCCTCCTTCATTAAGAGGTGAAGCCTAATCCAAAATAGGGTAATTGGTCTCTCTATTTGATGGAAGCAGCCAAAGAAGGAGGAGGATTTGGAATGGGAGGAGGAAATAAAATGCATGCCTAAATGCTTTCATAAACAAATATCTCCTTTGCTATGAGACCAGAAGAACTGCTACCATTACTGAATATTTTGATACAAGATTATATAGAAGAATACTGATTTAAAAAAAAGGGGGGGGGGCATGTGGAACAGAACAACAAATTCTCATGAAATCCAGAATTTCTGGAGCCACGGAGGGTGGATGAACACTGAAACTGTTGCCTTGAGATCATCTTTAAGCCTTAAATCTTAATTAATAAAACATCTCCCCCAAATCTTTTTTAAACCAAACAGGAAGTTAGCTTATTTAGTTAAGAACATTTAGCGTGAATACAGTCGGATGTTGAAGAACTATCTATATGGATCAAACTGACAACTGTGCCTGCAAATGGCAGCCAGGAATCTCAGGGGGCAGAAAGCTCACGTTCATGGGAAAGGAGAGGGAGAAGGTTGTACAACTCGAAGAATGTCACTGAACTGTCCATGGAGAAAGTGACGCTGCTTGTTCTTCTGAGCAAAGTTTCAACAACAGTAAAGAATAAAGAGATAGAGTCTGTGTCCCCACCCTCCAGCCCAGTAGAGCTTCTGGCCACCTTGATGGGCAGAGTAGGGCAGAATTCATGTTATATTTCTTCCAAGAGCAGGTCAGAGAAGGCAAGACTGCTTCCACAGGGCTTGCGCCCCGTCTCAGGACCCTAAGACAGGCAGAGCCACCATCCAAGAGCTCAGCATTGCTGGAGAGATTGAGTGGAGAAAGACACCACACAGAGATGCAGAGCGATGTTGGAGGAGCCCAGCTGCAGGGCCCAGACTAGGGAGAGGGGAGTCAGACCCTCACCACAAGTCCCAAACTTACTGCTTTGTTAGTTGCTAAGGAGTGGACTCCAACTCGGTGACACCGTGTGTGTCAGAGTAGAACTGTGCTCCAAAGGGTTTTCAATGGAAGTGATCGTTCCAAAGTAGACCATCCTAGTTCCTTCTTCCAAGGAGCCTCTGGGTGGAAGACTCTTCAGGCCAGGAAAAAAGACTCCCAAGGCCCCGCCCACTTCCAGTGCTCAAGATGCACTTCATTTTTGCAAAGCCACATCCACTCACTTACAGGATTCCAGACATTTCTCTTTGATGGTCCTGCCCACCCGCAAGGACCCCCCACACGCCTTTTGAATGACCACACCTACTTTCTTCTCTCACCTCCACTTCCTTTGAGTGGCCACACTCACTTCATTTGCTTATTCCCCCCTACACACACACACACACACACACACACACACATTACCTTCAGAAGGCCACACACATTTTCTCCTCTAGGGTCCCCCCACCTTGGGCTGGCCCACCAACCTCCCTCACCCACTTACGGAATAAATGTTGCTGCTGTCCTCCTTCAGTGGCAACTTGTACTGGATGATTGCTTTTAAGGTCTCCATTTTTTGTGAAATCTGAAAGAAAGTTCTGTGTCAGCCTCATTGCAACCCTGCCCTGGGAAGGGTGTGAGTCTGAAGCTCCTCAGAGTCTCTCTCCTAGCAACAGAGCTTCGTTGCCCACACTGAAACGTTGCTCTCTCTCCTGAGTGGAAAAAAAAACGACTTAACTGTTCTCCACAACTTGCTTTTGGGGGGTATCTGCAGTCTTGAGAGCCCCCCACTAGATAGTTTAAGAAACCCTAACCCACGTGTGGTGCTGTCAGTTAATGTGTCAGACTGCAAAGCTGTTTAAACTGCAAGGCCAGTGGTTCAAGCTCACCAGCTGCTCCTCAGAATGCTTACAGGGTCACTATGAGTTGGAATGGACTTGGTGTCACTTTACAACAACAACACCTCCATGTTGCAACATTATTTCATATGGCACACCTGCGGTCTGAAATTAACTCGTTTTTCCGAGCATTGTTTCCTTGCAACAATACAACAACCACCTCTAGGAGTCTGTGCCTGTGTACCTGGAGGCGACCCTGGAAGGCTCTGAGGTTGAAAAGTGACGCTCACTCCCAGACAGTTCTGGAAGAACCCAGTTATAAAGTGGGAGCAACTCTAGTCCACATCGTGCACTAAGAGACATTGTAATTTTGACCTGGGGCTTTTGTATATGCCCCATTCAAAATTCCTGCCACTCACTACATCATCCAATTAGCACAATGTCTTGTTTCACTTTATAAAACCTTTGTTCTGGGAGCTTGTCTTGGTGATGCAGTAGAACGTGGTCCCAACTTGCTCCTCATTTGATCAGCTGACATATAATAGCTTTCCTCTTTCTCGTTCAGCCAGTCTCTTTCTTTGTTTTAGCCATGCAAGGTGATACTGACAAGGAAGACAAGCCTTAGATGGAATTTGGCTACACACTCATGAAGGAAGCTCTAGCTCTGCCTACAAACAGTATTTTGCAATGCTGTTGTATGGAAAGCTGACATTCTGGAGGTAGGATTCAGCTAACTTTTCAATTGGAGTCTCATTAAAAGACAACAACAACAACAAAAACCCAAAACAACCAATTGCCATAAAGTTGGGTCTGATTTAGGGCAACTCCATGTGTCAGAGCATAACTCTGTTCCATAATTTGCAGCAGGCTGATGTTTTTAGAAACATCACCAGGTCTTTCTTCCAAGGCCCCACTGAATGGGCTCAAACTTCCAGTGTTTCAGTTAGCAGCTGAGTGAATGAACTGCTTGTACCATCCAGGGTCTCCTCAAGATGGGGTCAGGCAAAAAAAAATCCTCCATGAAAGTGGCTCTAAAAGTAGCTGGAACCTTCTACCGAAACATGATAAACATGTTGTTGTTGTTGTGAAGTGCCATTGAGTCGATTCTGACCCATAGGGGCCCTGTATAGGTTTCCAAGGAGCAACTGGTGAGCTTGAACCACCTACCTTGCAGTTCAAACGACTGTGCAGTCTGACGCATTAGCCCACAGCGCCACACCAGGACTCCTGAAACCCCCAATTCTAAAACACCCACAATGAAGATACAACAAGGGGGGACATCGTGAGTAAGAAGGAGCCAAGTTTCACTGTACATGAAGAAGCTCACTTAAGAAATGTCACTATGAAACAAAGGAAAATTGTATAACTCAACATTGCAGCAAAACATTCAAGACAGCATACAGCAAACACAGCTCTGAAGAAAGAGCAAAAAGCAAACATATAAGAAATCTGTCAAAGAAACGTGAACCCAACACCAAAAAGGTGAACCAGGAAGTAGTTGAACTTAGGAAAGAAATAGAAGGAAAAGACAAAATCTTTTCAGAAATGGCGACAATAGTGGGAAATGAAGAAAATGATACAGCGCACCAGGCAAGAAATAATCAAATTTCTAAAAGGAAAATAATAAACTAAGGACGTATATAAAACAACACATTAATGCATTTTAACAGAGACTTCATAGGGCATTCTTGTTGTTAAATGCTGTCAAGTCGATTCCAACCTAAAGCGACCCTGATAGGGTTTCTGAGGAGCAGCTGGTTGGTTTGAACTGCCAACCTTGTGATTCACAGTCCAGTGCTGATCCTACAGTGCCACACCAGACGTTAAGTTACTATAAATGGGAAATTACAGACCTCCACCCCAAACACAGGACCAGGCGGTGTTTCATTCTGTTACACAGAGAGTCCTTATGAGTTGTAACTGAACTGACACCACTGGACAGCAGCAACCCCCACCTTGGCAGCAGTTTTACCTATGTGGTTATGGAGGGCTTTTACTGAGCCCATGCATGGAGCAAACTCCAGCAAAACCCATCATCTCTGGTATCTAGGTGGGAGGAATCAGACACCAGACCACAGCCCTGATGTTCCCCTGGGTGACTTTGGCACTGGGTGGGGGGTTTACCGAGAGGATTTTCTGTAGCTGTAGATCATTCTCAACAAGTAGGATGTTGACCTTGGCTTGGCTGATAACATACTGACAGGCCTCAGCAGAGTTGGTGGCATAAATACCGACACAGAGGCCCCTGGGAAGAGAAAACACACAAGTGTGCATTAAGATGGGAATGTCTGGAAGTGGGTAGGGGATGACTATAGGCAAATTGTGAGTTTGCATCTTTGGTGTTGGCGTTCCCTCCCTCAACAACTTAACAATGACTAAAAGAACAAAGCTCACAGCTCCTTGGAAACCCTATACAGGGTTGCTATGGGTTGGAACCGACTCGATGGCACACAACTACAACAACAACAAAAGAACAAAATGATAACTATGAGAATGGCAGATCCAGCTCCGGACTCCTGGTATGGCACTGTAGGACCAGCACTGGACTATGAACCATGAGGTGGACAGTTCAAATCCACCAGTTGTTCCTCAGAAACACTGTACAGGGTCGCTATGGGTCAGAATTGACTCAGTGGCACGTAACAATGACAACAACATGATGTCATTATGATACCAGGTAATGCAACCCTCCCCAAACCAAAACCAAGCCCATTGCCTCATAGGGTTTCCAAGTCTGGCATCTTTATGGAAGCTGACTGACCCAGCTTTCTCCCAGGGAGCTGCTGGTGACTTTGAACCATCAATCTTAATCACTATACCACCAGGTCTCCTTGAAACCTTCATTGTTGCTGTTGTTGTTATTAAGTGCCATCAAGTTGGTTCTGACTCATAGCGACCCTGTATAGGGTTTCTGAGGAGCTGCTGGTGAGTTTGAACCACTGACCTTGCGGTCTAGTGCTTTATCCCACAGCTCCACACCAGGGCTCCTGGAACCCTTATAGCAGCTCCATTTTACAGATGGAGAAACTGAGGCTCTGTGCAGTGAAGTCGTTTGTTCCAGGCTACAGAGCAACTAAGTGTCAGAGCAAGGATTTGAACTCCACTTGACCACCCAGTGGGTGTGGAATGGTATCTCATTGTGCTTTTAAATTACATGTTCCTGATGGCATCTCTTATAGTGTCTACTAGCTAACTCCTGCCCAACAAGCAGACAGATTTCAGCAGAGGTTCTAGACTAAAACAATCTAGTAAGATGGAGAGGCACGTTACATCTGAATGTTTAGCCATGGTGAATTGCAGTGGAACATTATCAAATAGCACCAGAATACTGAATACTGAAACATGATGAAGAGCACCAGAATATTGTCAGATAGAGTGCTGGAAGATGAGCCCTTCAGGTTGGAAGGCACTCATGATACGACTGGGGAAGAGCTGCCTCCTCAAAGTAGAGTTGACCGTGATGACGCGAATGGAGTAAAACCCTCGAGACCTTCATTTGCTAATGGGGCACAACTCAAAATGACGAGAAGGAGCTGGACGCATTCATTACTAATCGGATCATTGAATGTATGAAGTATGAAACTAGGGAAATTGTCAAAAATGAAATGGAACACATAAACATCGATATCCTAGGCATTGTTGTTGTTGTTGTTTAGTGCCGTCGAGTCGGTTCCGACCCATAGCGACCCTGTACAAGGTATCCTAGGCATTAGTGAGCTTAAATGTACTGGTATTGGCCATCCGGAATCTGATAACCACAAAGTTTACTATGCCAGGAATGACAAATTGAAGATCAATGACATCACATTCATCATCAAAAAGAACATCTCAAGATCTGTCATGAAGTACAATGCTGTCTGTGATAGGATAATATCCATATGCTTACAAGGAAGACCAGTTAATATCACTATTATTCAAATGTACACATCAACCACTAAGGCCAGTGAGTATGAAATTACCAATTTTCTTCAGTCTGAAATTGATCAAACATGCAATCAAGATATATTGATAATTACTGGTGATTGGAATGTAAAGATTGGAAACAAAGAGGAAGGGTCAGTAGTTGGAAAATATGGCCTTGGTGATAGAAATGATGCTGGAGATCACATGATAGAAGTTTACAAGATCAATGATTTCTTTATTACAAATGCCTTTTTTAAGCAACATAAAATATCACTACACACCTGGACCTCACCAGATGGGACACACAGAGACCCAGTTGATTGAATCTGTGGGAAAAGACAGTGGAAAAGCTCCATATCATCAGTTAAAACAAGGCCAGGGGACAGACAGGTACAGACCATGAATTTCTCATATGCAAGTTCAGGCTGAAGTGGAAAAAATTTAAAACAAGTCCACGAGAGCCAAAATATGACCTTGAATATATCCCACCTAAACTTAGAGATCATATAAAGAGCAGCTTTGAAGCATTAGAGACCAAAGACGTTGTTGTTGTTGTTGTTGTTACGAGTGCTGTGGAGTCAGGTCAAACTGATAGCAACCCTGTATAGCAAACATTCCAAGAAGTGGCCGGTAGGTTTGAAATGACCTTGAATATAGTCCACCTGAACTTAGAGATCATCTCAAGGACAGAAATGATGAACAAGACAATAATAAGCAAAGACCAGAAGAGTTGTGGGATGATACATGAAGAAAGAGAAAGTTCATATAAAAGATAGGAAAGAAAGAAAAGACCAAATTGGATGTCAGAAGAGACTCTGAAACTTGTTCTCCAGCATAGAGATGTTAAAACAAATGGCAGAATTGAGGAAGTCAAGGAGCAAAACAGAAAATTTCAAAAGGTAGTTCTTGTCGTCTCTGTGTTCACTCAAGATCCACCTGACGTCAGCAGTGATATCCCTCGTTTCTCATCCTCTTCTGAATCGGTCTTGAACCTCAGAAAGTTCTCTGTCAATGTATGTTTGCAGCTGTTTCTGTATTACCATTAGTAAAATTTTACTCTCATGGGATAGTAATGATACTGTCTGATGATTTCCACATTCCGTTCGGTCACCTCTCTTTGGAATGGGCACAAATATGGATCTCTTCCAGACAGATGGTCAGGTAATTGTCTTCCAAATTTCTTGGCAGAGATGAGTGAGTGCCTCCTGTGCTGCACCAGTTTGTTAAAAGATTTCAATTTATATTCCATCAATGCCCTGTACCTTGTTCTTTGTCAATGTCTTCCGTACACCAGTAGTTGGAACACTTATTCTCGGTGTTCAGCAATATGATATTTTTACACACATAGTGCACACTCATTTGGGGGCTCAAACATAACAACAAATGTGAGGATGGCGCAGGACCGGGCAGTGTTTTATTCTATTGCACATACGGTCATTATGAATCAGAATTAATTTAGCGGCACTTCACAACAACACAACGCATGCACCTTATATGTGAAAAAATATGGTAACAAAGAATACGGTAGCCAATGTTAATGTTTCTTTCCAAGCACTTCCTTTCATTCTGATGGGAGCTGCTGTTTCATCTCAACTTGGATAACTCTTGACTTCAAGCCTCAGATTCTTCCCTTCAACCGCTGTGTGACTCTGGGGAAGTGTCTTAACATCTCTGGGACCCCCATCATCTTCTTCATTATTGTCATTGGGGATAATAGTATCTGCCTAAAACTACTCTAAGGAGTCGATGAAATAGGTCATTGTTGGTATGTTAAAAGTAACGGGGCAGCGAAAAATGAAGAGGAAGAATCACCCTCCATACGTGGCAGCAACAGTGGACTCAAACACAGCAATGACTGTGAGGAAGGGGCAGGACGGGCAGTGTTTTATTCTATTGTGTTTAGGATTACTGCAACAACATAGTTTCCATTTTCATTGTAAGTACAGTTGCGAAGATACAGTGTATAAATATTTTGTACCTGCTAATAAGGAAGATCTTAGAAGATTTGATGCCTTTGAGTTGTGGTGTTGGAGGAGAATACTGAAAGTGCCAT